GGTGGGGTGGCGGTGACGGCGACGGCGACGGCGGCGGCGGTCGCCGCCTGGAGACGCACATGACACGACTGTAGGCTTTCTGGGTGAAACGAAAGAAAACCCAGGGCGGTTTTCTGGCCCCCCGTCCTTCCCTCCCTCCCTCCTCTCCTCCTCCTGCTGCTGCACCAGCCTCCCCCCAAAAGCCGCAGCCCTTTCCCCCCTCCCCTCCCTCCTCCCCTTCTCTCCCTCCTCACCATAATAATCCGCTCTGCCGGTGGTGGGGTGCGGCCCCACCCGCGTGGGCAGCCCCGCATACAGCCCCGCCTTCACGCGGGGGCCCCGGAATAGCACCGAACCCGTGAGGGGGTGCAGCTGCTCCTGCATACCCGGCAGACACAGCATGGGTGCCGTCCAGGGGATCTGGGGGGTAAGAGGCCCCAGGCCCCATGTACAGGAGGGGGAAAGGAGGGGGATGGGAAGGGGGGAGAGGAGGGAGGGAGAGGAGGGGGAGACGAGGGAGATTCTTCTCAGGGGGAAAGGGGGAGAGAGGTTGGAGCGTTGGAAAGGGTATTCAAAACGCGGAAGTTAGCGGGCAAAGATGAAGTTATCGGGCCATTAGCGGGCGTCACCGCCAAGTGAGGAAATTATGAAAACGTGTACAGCAAAAAGGATATCTCTATAACACCGAAAAGTAATGCAACCCTGAAACGGTCGGTGTCCACGAGGGAGGAAGGGCCGCAATCATTTGGTATATGCCAAAGTATGCGGCAGCAAACCAACTGTCAACTGTCAACTGAAAATTTCAGAGGTGGTGGCAGGGATGGAGGGAGGACGGAGCTCAGCCAGCTTCAACTATAGCCACACCTGAGGTTATACACACCAGCCAAGCCGCCTTGCAGACTGGGGCTTTCCAACGGTTTCCTCCCCTTTCTCCCCTTTTTCCTGCCGTACCTCCATGACCAGCTCCTGCAACATCAGACACCACTCCAGTGCCGTACTCGGCTCCGAAAACGCCACCATGAAATGCCCCTCCTGCTCCTGACACTCGTAACCGCCACACGCCAATAAGCTGCGTCGTACACAGTCGTTGAATACCGACAGTACATCGTACGACAAGTCTCGGCTCACGGCTACCATCTCGGGGTACCTGTTATCGGCACGTCCGTACGTCCGTACGTCCGTACATTAGTAAATGTAAGTGCAAAGAAACACACGCGCGGCCCACAATGTTGATGACACGAGGTGCGATGCTCAATGCTGCCACCCTGGTATTGCTGGAGGTTCGAAAGGAGCTGTGCCCAAACCCCCACTGAAACTCGCCCTCTCCCCACCGCATCTTACCCCAACCCCACACTCCCCCCAAGCCCAATACCACCCCCCACCTCTCCATGCTGCAAAACACAACGGCCACGGGGGGAAGTTGTGGCATGGACGGTGTCGCTGTACGAAGGTGGTGGTGGTGATGATGATGATGATGATGATGATGATGATAACAATGATGATGATGGTGGTGGTGATGGTGGTGGTGTGTTTGCCGGCTTGGGTCCGGAGAGGGCCCCCCGCCGCCGTATAGCAGGCTCCCTGCCCCGGCCACCCTTCCGGCTGCCCCGCCAGCTGCCCCTCCGCCACCGAGGGGGGCCGCGGGGGCCGCCGGGGCGTCCAGGTAACCAGGAGTCAGCTGTCGGGGGTCGTACGGCAGGCGACACAGCCGGGCCCTCTCCTCCAACCCAGGCACTAAAATCTGTTGGGCATGTGTTCGTTGTCGCGGTTAATGGTTATTGGTTATTGGTTATGTTTTCGTTGGTTAGGGTTTATGGATTGCGGAAAGAGGGAGGGTGGATAGACACAATGTCACGACATCACAGAAAAATGGAAAAAATGTTTAAGCAGCCCCTCGCACAAATGTGTCCGGTCGTACTTCGCGAATAAACAGTTCGTACATCGTCCCAAAAAATCCAGGAGCGAATTTCGCCGTGCGGATGCGCGCGTGCGATTCGCAAAATGCGCCTGTACAAGTGTATATAAATTTTCTTGGCGGAATAGGACCAGGTGCGCCAGCGCGTTGCGCAGGTGGGCATGTTGGCCATAGCCGCACGCGGCATGCAGGCTGGACTATTGCGTGGATGCTTTGCAGTAACTAAAAGCACAGAAAGCCAACGTCGTAGCTTGCAACTCTGGGCTCGTGAAACTGCCGCGGAAGATGAAGCGCTGGCGAAGAGGCAGTTGTATGCAGCACCTTGTTCAGAGTAAAGTCAAATTACAAAGTTGCGCAAAGTATAACATACATAAACTTAATTAAACATAAGAACAGATAAGACGTTTAGAGCCTTGTCGGTGACATGGACGCCGCTGTTGGCTTGGAACAGCTATTTGCTGTGCATAGGGACGTGCCCGCGTTAGCCGTGTTGCAACAGCTCAGGATAGATTTCAGCCAGCAACAGCCTCAAGAGCTGCTGCACAACCACCGGGAATGTCTTCAGTTGGGCACGTGTAGTTTTGGTCGGCGGGGTCGAGCAACGTACGCAATGCGCACAGAAACCAAGGTGCAGCGTTCTGTAACATCGCCAACATATCCGGTACGCGGTGGCAGGCTTGCCGAGCACGAAATGAAGGGGGGGGTCGCATCTCACCATTCAACTAAGCATGCATGTGCTCGGTTGAATGCTCGGTAGCGTGCGAGTTTACCCCTATCAGGATGTTTGTTTGCATATCCCTCCAAGCGAGAGGGCTTGGACCTATGCTGATGTTCGTTCCAAGAAGTGGACTGAGGACTGATGCTACGGTGAAAGATTTGCACGTAAACTCGCCTGTGCAATAAAACGCCTTGTAACTCGCTTACGCTAATCTCACATTCCAATATGCCACTGCACTGCTTTCCTCTCCAGCCTGGCCACATTCTCTTCCTCGCAAACGTACTTGGGCACCTTACAATCCAACACCATACGTGCTTTGGAAACGCGGGCAGCTGCTTCACAAGGACCCCCCTATTTACAAACAGTATTTGTTTTATTGTTGCGCAGGGTGTGGTGGAGCCGTACTGTCGTACTTAGGTAGCGGTAGGTAATGTGATCAGACCACAATTCAGGAACGGTGAACAGCCCCTTGAGGGGCTATAGACTTCCCTTCATGATCAACCAACCGCCAACTGCCAACCGCCAACCCCCAACTGCCTACCTGCGTCAGCCCAACGTATTCCACGGTGCTGCCGGCCTGAAGCTCAAACACGCCCATGGCCATCACGCCGACAGATAGAGAAGGGCCGCCGCGCCGCGCTGGGGATAGAGTGGCGGCAGCGGTGGCTACGGCAGCGGCATCCAGGAGCGATGTGCTGTTGGCGCCGCCGCCGCCGCCAACACCGGCAGCGCTGCTGTCGCCACCGCCATGACCGGCGGCGGCGGATCGGAGGCCGCCAGCGCAGGACGCGGCCGCGGCGGCGGCGGCGGCGGTGGCGGCGGTGGCAGCTTGGTAACCAACCGACGGCAGGGAGGGTAGCGGCGCTGACGCCGGATCCCGGGGTTGGCTGGGGGGGGAAAGAAGATCATGTGCACGTGTGTGATTACATCTTACTGTTTGGGGTCGTAATTTGCTGTTTACGGTTGGGGCTGTTTACAGTAGTGCTACGGCCAAAAGAACACCAACTAGAACTGCTCCGGATCATCACAATTTACCCAGGGTGGACTAGAAAACGATGCGCACATGTGTGTCGGTCAGTATGTCTATCTGAATGAGGCTGGGAGGAAAGTTTGAGGGCAGGCGGGCAGGAGAGGGGGTTAGAAGCGGATGAGTGGGTAGCAGGGTGAGTAAATGGATGCAAGCCCCTATATGCTCTTATCCCCAGGCCGTACATCCGTACAGGTGGGCCTTATTCACCTCCATCTGTGCGCCAGGTCAAAGTAAGATCCCAGTTGCAATGTCACATCTTGCTCGGAGATGGAAAAGCTGCCTGCCGCGCCGCCGCCGCCGCAACCGATGGCGGTTCCGATCCCGCCGCCGCCGCCGCCGTAGGCGCCAAGTTGTCCACTGCCGTCAGTGCATGCGGCTCCGCTGTTGACGGCAGCGGTGACGGCCCCGCCGCCGGCGGCCCCGTTGCTGCGACCTGGTAATGCGACGGCACTGCAGTTGACGTCCATGACGCCTCTTAAGGCTTTGGACGAGATTCCGTCAGCGCCGCCACCGACACTGCCGCCGCTAGGCATTTCCGCCAAGCCGCCGGTGGCGGCAGTGAACCAAAGCCCCGAGGAATCCCTGACCCGAACCCCTGACCCGCCGCCACCGCCGCCGCCGCTAGGCATTTCCGCCAAGCCGCCGGTGGCGGCAGTGAACCAAAGCCCCGAGGAATCCCTGACCCGAACCCCTGACCCGCCGCCACCGCCGCCGCCGCCGCCGCCGCTCGTCAGCAACGCGTGCGATGATGACGCCAGCATTGCAGCTGCCGGCATGGTTGGGTCGCTGGCGCTGTAGCCGCCGAGCAATCTCCGGCTTAGGAGCTGTGGCGCCTGATTATGTTGCTGTTGCGGCTGTACCGGCAGCTGTTGACTCTGTTGCTGAAGTTGCTGTTGCGGACCGGTTGCGGCTGCGTTGGGTGTGGGCGGTCCGCGAGGACTGCTGGCCCCGCCGGAGGGGAGCCTGTGTCCAATGAAGCGAGATAATCCGCTGATGGGCCTCGAACCTGGGACCTGTTGTTACCGAAGGGTTACCGAAGGACCCAACAGGCACGCATTCTCAATCAAAGGCCATCTATTCGTCCCGAAGAGAATTGTCTTTTGCAAGCCGAGTGCATCGGTTCCAATTCGTCCCCATTTTAACGCGGAAGTGAATCCTCATAGGAGAGCACGCTACTCTGCACGCCCGGTCAATATATGCATCAGACCAGGGCGTGGATGCGCAACGATTATTAGATTTCGGTATCCTAAAAATCCTTCCAAAAAACCTACCGTCAGGCTACCGCCGCCGCCGCCACCACCCGCACTGGCCGGCGGCGCCGCCGCCGCCCCAATCGCCCCCATCCCAGGACGAGACGTCTGCCGGCCCAGCACCGCCAGCGTCCCCAGCAGTCTGAAACTCACTCCACCGCCGCCGCCGCTGCCAGCACTGTCGTACCCTGTCGTCGCACCTCCCCCAGTCGTCTCAATGGATGGTTCTGGAGCCGTCGCCATGTCGAGGGGATGTCGTGAATGGCCGCTGCGGACGCCCCTGGAGGTGGCCAGGCGCGCCATGCTTGAGGCGGCGGCGACTTTGCCCGAGTGCAGGTGGTGGTGACCCATGGGTCTGTGGCGGCCCTTGTGGTGGTAGCACAGCAGCCTCTGCACTCGAATACTGAGCGCGGTGAGGTTGTCCTGCGTGGCGTTGAAGGTGCTGGCGTCGATCAGAATCTGCGGAGGGCAGGGGAGGTGTGCGTGTGTGGGGGGGGGATGGAATGATGAACATGTGGAGTGGAGATATAGATGTGGTGTGACGGAGAGGGGGAAAACACACACGCAAACGTTCACGCACGCGCACACGCACGGCACGGCATGGCACACACACAGGGTTTACCTGCCCTCCCTGTGGTAAGTCCGCCACCGCCTGCAACCGCCTCCGCACCTCCCCGTAATACTCGGGACGGGAGTTGCCGCGGATGTTGCAGTCCGTCATACCTGTAGCCACCCCCATCCGTACACGTAATCCCCTGTACAGCACCCCCAGCCGGATGTAGCGGGACCAGTCGTCCGGGGGAGGCTTGTCAGAGGAGGTGGCGGCGGCGGCGGCAACGGCCGCGACGGAGGGCGATTGTGGCTGCGGCGGGGGTGCCGCTGCTGCCGCCACCGCCGCCGCCGCCGCTGCGGCTGCTGCTGCGGCAGCAGCAACGCCGGGACTGTCGACGTTCATCAGGCTGTCGACGGGGTCGAGGGGCGAAGTGACGTTGGGGGTTGGGGAGGGAAAGGGGGGAATTTTATGGGACACAAGATGATGGTCAGGGATAGTGCTGTGTACGCTTGTGTGTGCGTGCATGTATGTATGCTTTTATGTGTGTATGAGTGTAGGGTGTACTGATGTACGAGCCGATACGACAAAGGCAAGAGGGCCCGCGGAGCTTCCGGCGATGTGTATCATTATCGTAGTGCTCGCCAACGGCGCCGTGAATCACCTTCCCCGTAACCCAACCCACCTCCACACCTCCAACCATTCCCAGCCTCCACCCTCCACCCACACCCACACCCTCCACCCACACCCTCCACCCCCACCCTTCCACCCCCACCCCCAGCCTCCACCCCCACCCCCACCCCCGCCCCCACCTACACGTCCTGCGGCGCCACCCCGGTGCAATCCCCCGCGGGAGGGGGTCCCCGAACAGGGGGATCCGACAAGGTACGGATCTGCAAGGAGGGGGGCATCATCATCGTCCTCGTCCTCGTCATCGTTGTGGGGTCCACCAACAACGAAGTCGCACCCTCCGTCAGCAGCAGCGCGTCGCCGTCAGCAGCACCGAAATCAGCCGTCGCCGCTGCAGCTGCAGCTGCCGCTGCCGCTACCGTTGTCGCTTCGCCGCCACTGCTCAGCATTAGTTGCGGCGGCGGGGGCGGCGGCAGTAGCAGTGGCGGCGGCCGCACGCCGCCGACGCTGACCACACGCCTTGGTTGCTGGTCGCTGCCGTACCCGTTGCTCGTCGTCATCGTCGCCGTGCCCGCGGGGGCCGCCGGCGGGTCGCCAACCACGACTATTCCTGACTGTCGTAGGCTGGTAAAGCTACCGCTACTGGCGTGTCGAAGGGAAATCACACCGGGGGATGGGTCACTTGACGGGCGGCTGGCGTCCATGCCCGGGGACGACTGTTGTTGCTGGGGCTGTTGGGGCTGCTGCTGCTGGAGTTGTTGCGGGTGTTGGGGATGTTGAGGTTGCTGTTGTAGGTAGCTTTGGATGAGCGAGAACAAGTGCTGTGAAGGCGCCCGCGATGGCGGCCCCTGCTGCTGCTGCTGCATCGGTGGTTGTGGTGGTTGCTGTTGTACCACGTGGGACAGCAAATGCGGGTGCGATTGGAGCAGCATCGATAACGGCGGCATCTGCTGCTGCTGCTGCTGCTGCTGCGTAAAGTTGATATTTAGATTTGAACTCACATTCGTGAGGATGTGGGTGCGGAACTGGTCGTTGTGGGGGTAGGTGTTTGAATTGAAGGCGGGAGCGGAGAGGAGGGTTCGACCGGGGGGACCCCCCTGGAGCGATTCGATAGTGTCGATGGAGGCCTTATGATGACGAAACAGCTCCGGATCCCACTCAGCATCTGATATATGTACAGCAAACGTATACGGCGGGAAGACAAACCGGGAGCAGAGCAGGATGCAGCGGGGGTGGGCCGGCAGGATGCGTCGTGAAGAACTAGGGGGACGTAAGGACTAGGGGGTTCAGGGGGTTCCATCGGGAGGGCGACATTGCAGGGGTGTGTGTGCCGACCCTTGCTAAGCCGACTGGAGATCTGTAGGAGAAACCTCCGGCCGCAGCTCTGCACTTCCATTGCACTTCCATTGCACTGCACTGCACTACACCTCGCATTACACCGGCGGCCTTGTGGTACCCGCCAGGTGGGCCGATAGGTGATGTCGGTAGCTACCCCCGTGAGCTCCCTCCTAACTGCCGACCCCGCGGTGGTGGTGGTATCACTTCATACGTTAGGCCCCCCGCCGCACAACCGCTCGATCCACTTTTTCTTTTCCGCCCTCCCTTCTCGCCCACACTTCCCTCCTCCCCCCTTCCTCCTCCGCTTCCCCCCTCCCACACACACAAACACACTCACTCAGGAGCAGCAATTGTGAAGTGATGCACCAGCCAAGAGCATCGGCTGGTTCGTGGAAGGCAACCAGGAAAGCGTCGCCCTGGGGCCGGGAAATGTAGGGGGGAGGGAGGGACGTGTGTGTTTGTGTGCATGTACGCCACGGTACCGTGGTAACGGCTGGGTGGGATGGAGCGTCAGTCCTCGTAAGGGGTTATTGGGTCGCGCTCTCCCTCTCCCTCTCCCTCTCCCTCTCCCTCTCCCTCTCCCTCTCCCTCTCCCTCTCCCTCTCCCTCTCCCTCTCCCTCTCCCTCTCCCTCTCCCTCTCCCTCTCCCTCTCCCCCAGTTGAGAGAAAACGCAGAGAAAACGTAAAGTAAAGTGGGGTGGAGTGGGGTGGCGTCCGTGAAGGGAGAGCGACCAAACCCTAGGGAGGGGGAGGGGGAGGGGGATTTTTCCGCCCAGCGATGAGCAACCGGAAACCCTGAAACCCGCCCCCGCGCACCTCCGTCTGCACCTCGTACCCCTGCCACCTCGACAAGTTGAATCGCAGTGTGTGGTCATGAAGCTCTATGGCAGCCGCCATCAGGTCCTGTACGGCATGTACGAACGTCAGCACCGCAACTCAGGCACATTTGCGCTCGCGCACGCTGGAAAACAAACAGGGGGCTGAAGGCTGCATGACCTTTTGATGATGAGAAGAGGAGTCAACCCACACAGCACAACACAGCGTAGCACAGTACATACATACATACATACATACATACATACATACATACATACATACATACATACAGGGTGAATAGGTTTCCGGAGGACCAACCGTTCAGGTTAGTGGCGGTAAGGGGGAGGCGCCGTGCGGGCTACAATCCTCCCCCTGCGGTTTTCTGGAGGGTCTAGGAGCTGTGTGTCGTGGCAACGCTAACGCTTTTGTGGTCTCGCCGGACTATCCCGGGCCCCTGCAGTGGTGATCAGGCTTGTGCGGAATCCCCTTTCTTTATAAGGCTACTTCTCCCCTGGACCAGCCCAGGAAGGGACAGGTGGTGGAGGTCAGTTGTTTTAAGGTGGTTGCAAGACGTCTTGTGGTGTCGAGCTCTCTTAGCCTTTCTCTCTTGGAGGTTTTTTTGTTGGCCTGTTAGGTATATCAGGAGCCCTCCCCTGCCGGGACTGCCCTAACCGTATTTTTGTTTGTTTGTTTGTTTTTCCCTTCGAATCCCGTTTTCGTTGGTGGTGTTTTGGGGGGTTGTTTCAGAGAGCCTTTGACTTTGCCCTAGCTGAGACTTGTGGACTCGCTCTAGCGGGACCTGAGAGCCCTTCGTGGTGTATTCAATGCAGCGCCATCCCCGGATGGAGGGGCTGCGGAGTGGCTGCGTAGAGTGTTGGCAGTCTGAGTCGGGGTCGGGAGCACACAAGACTAACCGACTTGTGCTGTGTGCTCCCGACCCTTGCGCTGTGTTTCGGCTTCGGCCCCCGGCTCTCGCAGCCCACAGTGTAATCTAAGTCATACATACATACATACATACATACATACATACATACATACATACATACATACATACATACATACATACATACATACATACATACATACATACATACATACATAGAGACCAACATACTGCCCAACAACGCAGCTGCAACGCCAACCCACCCGCCCCCAACCCAACTCACGGTGTCCCACTCCCACAGTTCCGTGCTGCCCTCCACTTCGGGGAGGGAAGGGGGAGGGGGGAGGGTTGGAGGGGGAGGCGAGGAGGCGGGGAGGCGGGGAGGCGGGCAGGCGGGGAGGGGGGAGGGGGGAAGGGGAAAGAAGAGCTGGGGGAAGGACGAACCAAGGAAAAGGTGCCGCCATGTGCAATCGACGAGCACTATTGTGCTACACAAAAAGTAAACCGCCGCTCGTCCCCGCTGTACACCTATCCCTCCCGTTGTCCCCTCCAACCCCAAAATCCCCCCCAGGGATGTACGGCCGGTCCTGGCCCCCGTACTTATGTCGTACCGTCAGTTAGCACCAATGTAACCGCGCAGCTGCGGCCCCGTCGGTTGCCACCTGTAAACAGTGATTAGAGCTAAAAGGTGTTACGCAGTTAGCGGTTAGCGGTTAGGTTAGGAAGTCGCTCCATTGTCATTCTCGTCACTGGCCTGTCGCAGATCAGTTCATTAAAACATACAAACATACATATGTACCACTAACCCCCCCTCCCCCTACCCACCGGGCGGTGTTCTCTTCCCCGCCAGCGAACCCCAGTAGAGGTACGACTCCAGGGATGGGCCCACTCGCCTAACCACCACCACCACCGCCACCACCGCCAGCACCAACAAACTCACGGCCGCCACCGCGGCGGCCCACCAGGGGAAGCGGGAGGAGGAGGCGGAGGAGGGGGAGGAGGGGGAGGAGGGGGAAATGCTGCTATCCGAGTGTGAAGGCCAAGATGACGTGGGCGAGGAGTTGAAGGCGGACTTCGGGATGTCGGGGGGTGATGGCGAGGGGGATGGTGCCGTACAGGACATATTGACGACGCGGCGTGTGGTGCCGGCGGCGGCGGCAGCAGCAACGGCATTGGTTGTGGTGGTTGTGTACACGGGGAGGTAACCGCCGACGCAGGTGCATCCGTCGTACTGCCAATAGTACGGCGGGACGAGCGCAGGCTGGCCGCTGGGCAGTACGGTGAAGGGGCAGAAGGGTCCTCTGGTTCCGGAGCGGTCTTCCTCACCACCTGCGAGGAAGGTGAGGGTGCTGCCGGGGCGGGAGGGGGTAAGGGGGCGGGAGGGGGGAGGGAGAGGATGAAAAAAGATGGTAATTGGGACGCAAACCGGCAAAGGGGGATTCTTTGGTTTTGTTTGGACTCGAGGTACTTTACCACGCTATCGCTATGATCGCTTTTTGATAGAGACTTCACAGCACAGCACAGCACAGCACAGCACAGCACAGCACAGCACAGCACCCACAACGGCTAGCCCCCCTGCCCCCTCCCCCCTCCTCACCTGTTGGACAGCCTCAGGTAGGGTGGCAGCCCCAGCGCTCCCGGGAGGGCAGCCTGCAGGCCGGTGTGCCTGATGTCCAGGAAGGTGAGCGAGGACAGACCTGCGCATGCACGTATGCATGTATGTACGACTTAGATTTATACTGTCGGCCGTGAAAGCCGGGTGGGCCCCGAAGCCGAAACACAGCGCAAGGTTCGTCAGGCGCACACACAAGACAGCACAAGTCGCGGCTAGTCTTATGTGCTGCCGACCCGACTCATGCTGCCAACACACGACGCAGACACTCCGTCCGGGGAAGGCGCTGCAGTCCGTCTGCCTGTCTGCCTGTCTGTCTGTCTGTCTGTCTGTTTGTCTGCATGTCTGCATGCATGTACATATGCGAATGCAGGCAGGAATCTCCTCCGCAAACCCATCTGCAACCCCTCTATCACGTCTTCGGTTACGGCCCCCAAAACCATATACGCATATACCGCCTCTTCTTCCCACTCAAGTACTCACACCTCTACACCCGACTTTGGACGTCAGCACATATTTCGTTTTTTCTTTATACGACAACCCCCGCGCCGTATACCTGCGCCCGCTCATACACACATACACCCAGACACAACCCCACCCTGGACCTCACCCCCGGGTAGCTCCCCCCTCAACGCGGGGTTTCCCTCCACGGCCAGTGACACGAGGTGCCGCCCGGGGAGGGTCGAGGGTAGGGAGCCGCTCAGGGAGTTGAGCGACAGATCCAGGTGCTGGATTAGGGGCCGCGGGAAACGGGGGGAGAGGGAAGCGGGGGGGAGGGAATGTGTTTTGTGTACGTATTGGGTGGGGCGGAGACAGCGCAGGTGGGAGGGGCCCACGGGCTGGATGTGCGGAGCAACTATTGAGGTGTTTTTCAGAGGAAAGGTGCCCGGGGGTTGGCAAGGCCGAGGTTCCGTCCCTCCCCTTATCCCTACCTCTACTTACCCACCTCACTCCCCCAACCTGCAGGCTTCCGTACACCCTGCCCTGACCCACCCTCTGACCTTGTACAACCCCCGGCGCATGCACTACCAAAACCCAGCCCCCCCTTACCCGCACCCTTAACCACGTGGGACTATTCCACCGTACGGCCTGCGCCAGTACTGCCCCACACCTCCCCCCAGGCCTAAGGGGTCCCTCCCCAACCAGCTTGGCTGGTCCTGACACCCCCACCCCTTCCGCCAATGCTTGTCTTTCCCCCCTACCCCCAAAACGCACATTTTTGGGCCGCCCCCCACACACCCACCCACCCACCCACACACACGCACACAACATCCACACCACCGCCGACCTGCAGCTGTAATGCGCCCAGAACACGGGTGGGAAGCGAGCCATTGAGGGAGTTGTTTCGGAGCGATAAAAAGTAGAGGGACGGAGAGTACGACAGCAACGGAGCCACGGGGCCCGTCAAGCGGTTGTGTGACGCGTCCAGGTACGACAACTTGGCACGGGAGCCCAGGTACGTGGGCAGCGTGCCGTACAGTTCATTGGACGAGATGTCCAGGTAGCTCAGGTCCTCTGTGTGAAACCGGACAGGGACCATCGTATGTAGTGCTAAGGATAGTGTACGGCAGTGCATCAAAACGACGTACGACACATGAGGCAGAACAGCACGGGGGCCATGTAGGGGCCATGTAGGGGCCATGTAGGGACATGCAAGGGGCGGTGCAGGGTTTTGGGCTTTCCAGGGTTTCTGTTCTGGAATCGAATCGAATGCCGTAGGAAGTGAAATCGTGTCCTTTATCGTGATTCGTACAAGCGGCAACCCCCCGCGGGTTACCCCCCTCCCACCCCCCCTCGCAATAGCAGCAACGCGCCGCCCAGCGCATGACAACGCGACAGAGAGGAATTACGGCAAAAAACGGTGACGGCAGCGATAGAGGAGTACGACAGAGGAGTACGACTCCAATTACAAGTGCAGGTGCTTACCGACGATGGCGGCTGTGGACGGCAAGACTGGCAGCGGTCCTGACAGCCGATTGCCGTACAGTCGTACACTGCGCAGCTGGTTGGGCCCTAAGAAGAGCTCGGGAGGCACGGGGCCTTCTAGCGAGTTGCCGGACAGATCCAAGTACTGCAGGCACGTGAGCAGACGTACGAGTACGGCAATGTACAGTGCATCGGCGTACGATGCTGTACAGGGCAGCAGAAACGCGAAGCAGCAGCAACATGTGTCCTGCCGTACGAGTATTAAACCCCTTACCCTCCCCACCCCCCACCTGTAACGAGGGGTGCTGCAGCAGCCACACAGGCAACCTCCCCGACAGGTGGTTGGAGGCCAACCGCAAAAACACCAATTCCGTTAAGAAACCGACTGATACGGCATTGGCACCGCCATAGCCGTCGTTGCCGGTGCCGCCATAGCTGGTGCTGCTGCTGCTGTTGTTGTTGTTGCTGCTGCTGCTGCTGCCATTGTCGCCGCCGGTTACCGCCGGTGGTTCCACATCCTCGGCTGCTGCACCGAGCTCTGATATGCGGCCTGAGAGCTGGTTGCTGGCCAGGCTCACGTGAGCTAGGTGACTCAACGGCCGCAGCGCGCCAAGGCTGCCAGTCAGCCCGTTTTCGTCCAGGATGATAAGCCTTCGCAGGTACGGCAAGTACGATTAAGGTTAGAGGCATGTACAGCCATGTGGTCAATATTTCATGCGATGCGTGTGTGTGAGAGGGCGCTAGCTGGTCCCTGGGGCGGCGGTAGCCTTCCCACCCTCTTCCAGGGCAGAGGAGGGGGATGCGGGTCGGTGGCATTGCTAGCTCCGCTCATCCCCCGCCCCTACCCCCGCCCCTACCCCCGCCCCTACCCCTACCTCGACTGCTCCGGACACCGCCCCCATACCACCGCTGCCCGCCTGACCGCCATGGTCGCCCGTGGCGCACGTTTCCCTTCACACGAACATACATACATAAATACATAAATACACACGCAGGCGCTGTGCGTTTTGACGCAGGCGCTCTGCGTCCCTTCAACTCCTAGATGTTCAGAGTATGACATACACATACATGTGTGCGGACGTACATACATACACCGTACGACGCCACCGCACACAGTCACGTACTCGTACAGGTGCCCACTGCCCAGCCGCCAAGCCGATCCCCCGGTGCAACCAGAAGGAAGGTTGCAGGTGCATGCACAACCTTACACAGAGGTACATACAGGTATACACACACATACATACACGTACATAATCCCACAAAATCCAAATCACCACAATGTCAGCTATGTCTAATACCCCAGACTACGGCGATAACACAAAAAGTTTCGCAAGGCCAGATCTCTGCCTCCCCGCAGAAAGAGACATCACTTCACTCGCACGGAGAGGCACGCACTTTAGCGAGGAGCTGAACGACACCCAGGGCACATCCTGCATGGCGCCCGAGATGTTGTTTGACGGCAGCACCAGGCCGGTTAGAGCCCCATCCTCAGCGGGGCAGTCGCTGTCGGCTGGGATGGAGCCATCCAGAAGGGTGGGCAGGCAGCACAGCACGCCCTCCCACTGGCACAGGGGTACCTCGTCATTGAGCCAGTTACCACGACGCGCCCAAGTGGGACCGTTCCAAGCCCAAAACAGCTGGGTGAGGGCTGTGCGTTGCTTCACCCGGCACGGAGCGTCACAATCTGTAACGCCGTTCCAGGTATCCGGGCCGCTGTTGATGACTTGTACCGAGCGACGAAGCGGTGCCAGGTTGGAAAGAGACTGGGGCCCTGCCGGCGCAAGTCCCGGATAGCTAGGACGACTGGGCTCCTCGTAACGCAATTTTCCAAAGCGAATGGGTTCAGAAGGACACGGATAAGGTAACCAGCAGCATGTAACAATCGCAAAAAGTATGAGCAAAGCCATGGCGTTGGCTTCGTTTGCCACTTCAAACAACTGGAAGCCAAAACATAGTTATTCATACTTGAATTTTTGATTGCTTATGCGATACATTAATACTCGATGCGGACGAAGCCGCTTGCATTACTACTTATTAGGCAAGGTAGGCTTTTCTGCAGTCCATTGGCCTCCCTCTAGACGCAGAAGCATACGGTTCGGTTAGTTTGTTACTATCCTTCGTCCTTAGTGATGTGTTTGGGCACTTCCACCCGGGAAACCCCTCGTACGCCCGCCGTACATGAGAACCTAGAAGTCGTGACAAATAGAATACTCCATGAACAGTACTTAACCTGCCCTCTCGGCAACTCAAAGTATACTGCTTTCATACAAAAAGCCTCCCCATGAAGAAGGGCATTTCTAACTATGTGCGAACTGCACTGACAACACATGCCCTTCACGCCTTCAGGCAAACCTGCGGCGTTATAACAATTGTATAAAAACCGTCATGTTACTTACACGGTTGCCTGTTTTGGCTGCGCCCGCTGGATGCAACCGGGTAATGGCCGCAAGCGCGAACTTACCAGTACCGGCATACGGGAACGGTCATGCAGTGAGAACTCAGTTAGATAATCTAGGAAAACTTTAAGAAAGTTTAATCAGAAACAATAAACTGTGTCTGCGGTATTTATAATGTGGGAAGTTTGTACAAGCCTTAAACCAACCACCAGTCACACTTGGCAACACAAATACAAACGCCGCCTCAAAGACGCGACGTGCAGCAAGAGCCAGCTTGCCAAGTGCTGTTTATAAACTTTTCCTGTGCACAACGCTTCGATTCTTAATGTTACACCTGACACCTACCACGCGCAAGACCCCCCTTGCTTTGTGCTTGCTTTCACGGCCTGAAGCAGCTGCGCAGCATCTTCCGTTCCTCAGCCTATGTTCCGTATCCTTAGCTGCAACCCGTCCTAGGCTGTAGCCCGCCGCAACATGCTGCCGCCCGCTGCCAGCTGTTCTCTCGCGGTGGTGCGAAATGGCCAACATGATTTTGCACGTGTCTATATGAGGAGTCTGTCTGATGCGTGTGTTGGGTTTTCTGTCTCGTCCTAGCAGCTCTGCTTGTGATGCTTGAGCGCGCGTGTGTTTCCTTTAATTTAACCCCATTCCTAGGCAAGCTTCAATATTCGTGGTAGCCACCACCTGATATGGAACCGCCTGTAAAGAGGCCCATGCCCCCGAGACCTTGATGCTGGAGGATCTTCATGCGGGATATTGGACATTCCGTGCCCTTTGCCTTGCAACCGTTTCGCATATCGGGTCGCCACGAGCCCTGTGATGAATGGCGGCAGAGGACAGAGCCCCAAGGTGGGCGGCGGCATGATGGCCCCTATGATCGCCCCTATCGGAGCTGGGCGTAACTGTTAAACATCGGCGAGCCATCCACATGCTCTCTGCCTCTCCAGTACTGCGTGTACCCGCACACGGTTAGCCAGGCCAGGTGCTCTTAACGTTTTACACAAAAGACTGAATCCCTTCAAAAAGTGGGGAGCTTGAGTGCCGCGCGCAAGGAGAAATCCCTAACAGTGGAAACAACCAGTTTCAGCCAAAACTGGAATACGAAACGGTTTCGGTTACTGCCAACCAACACTGGACAACCAAACGGGCAAAACAGGCGGAACAATGCGCCGCTCATGTGTGCGATTGTGATGAGACCTGGAAAGGAGGTGCGATGGATGGACTCGTCCCCGTCGCGGTGTGCTCAGCAAGGCTCTGCCCGTCCGTGTGCCACACATGCACATGCGAGGTAGGATGGCGCCTAACGGCGATCTGGCAGACCTTGAGACCTCGGCTCGTAATGGGCGGTTTGCAGGTGTATCCGGGGAGCGCACCCCCACGACCATGTAACACACACACACATGCACTTGGCAGTTGGCATGGCGCACCGAAACCAAGCGAGGAAAAGGAAACGGAGCCGTTCAAGAATCTAAGCAATAATTAAACTTCGCACACACATGCACCTGCAAGCAGTCGGCCAAAGTAGAACACTTCATCTGAAGACTGAAGACGGGCCTCAAGCGCCGTCAAAAGAATGTACAGCAACCTGTCCAACCTACATCGGTCGCCGTCTGCGCGTGAAATCGCGGTTTTCTCACATCAGGGTGAGCATTTGCAAAGGGGCCTTCTCGTTCGCACTCACGCCCCTCAAACACGGGCCCAAGCAATAAAAGAGTTCACAAGGCCTTACGGGGCACCGCACACATAGCGTTGCGAACTCTGGTACAGACGGGCTGGCAGACACAATCGGTAGCAGGTTAACCGTGAGAACACCAACGTCCGCAGCAGCAGCTGTTCTCCATCCATCCACATTATTACCTGCCGCTTCCGGTGTGTGTGTGTGTGTGTGCGCGTGTGTGTGGAAAGCCCTTTCGCTCTTCACGCGGTTTGGAGGCCACAAAGACTCTCCTTCACACCAGCGGCGACATCACCATCCAAACAACCTCCTCCAACTACCAACGAACATTTGAAATCAAACAAAATCCATCCGAGAGAATCCATCAGTGAAGTTTCCTCAACAAAACAAAGCCATTGTCATGCCATCAGAGTTTTGGGGCGCTTGCTGTCTGGTGCATTGGGTAGCTGCTGCCCAGTGTTGCCTGCGCAGTACATCCCTAATATAATGTACACCACCAGGTATATTTCATATATTCCTTATTGAAAACTGTGGTATGCAGGCGCCCCGTCAAGTAGTCGACTTGCCCACCACCTCGGATACTTCCTAACGACCTACTCAAGCCAGATGCCGCACCCACGACCAACCCTGCATACATCTGACCTCTGCAACAACAGAGCAAACGAGCAGCCGTGAATCACACCGCTTATCTCCCCCCCTTATGAAACGGCTTACCCTCGACGTGCGCTACATCGAGAAACGACCACCGTAAACACGCTGACTGGGGGGGCACCACGTGAATGTGGCTTCCAGTTGGCCCTCGTGCCGGCCGATCAGACACTTTCTGACTTGACCGACCTACATCCTCACCGGCGGGAATCGGCATCTATTATTACGAACACCCATCATGGGAACCCCTCCTATAGCTATATGCGCCGCACGTCTACATTGGCTCTGGTAGTGCCTGCGCATGATTGTCAGCGGAGACAGATCCACATGGGGGGGTCACAAGACGTCGTTACGCTGCTACGCACTAACCCCAAGACCTCCGCAAAAGGGCCACTGCGACATTGCCTATACTACTATACTTGTACTCGTCTCTACAAAGCACAAAGCAGCGACCTCCTTCGAGACCCCTCCTACCGCAACAGGGGAGACGACTACACTGCCAGATTAAAAAACGTTTTGCGGTTTACTACCAATGACTAGAAAACCACGTGCAAACCACGTGGTAAACAACACACGTGTAATGCCTGCAACGCGAAGGATCTACTGTACACGGACATCACAGCACCACACACCGTGCAGGATATACAACATACACATCATGCGCAGTCGAGCAGAGCGATCTCGCTTTAAAAAGGATGCATGGACGTGCTTGAAGCAAACAAAAACAGTCGTGTGTGTTCATGTGTGCTTGTGTGCAAAAAATGATGTGCGCGCGGTTGCAGTCTCTGTAGACATTCACAACGCGGCACGGAAGTTTGGCCTCACAGCCACTCGTTAGGAGAGGTGGAACAAAACAGAGCGGAGAAGATGCTTGGGGCGCGGATCTTCCTGGAAGCTTCCAGAAAGAACATGGAAACCTTTCATCCATGGAGGCGAAGGACGCGGTGCGGCCATGTCCTAAGACCACAAAGGCGGGGACTGGGCTCTGCCGTTGCGGGTTGCCAGTACCCGGTCCCCCCTCGCATGCGCGCTGCTGGCTATACCGCCCTGTTCACCGGCACTGTTTTTGTCTGTGTGGTACGGCATCGCTATCGTAACTATCGTAGCGAGTACCCACATACAGCGTTCACGCCGGACGGACTGCATAAACGCAACGCCGACTTCGTTGCTGTTTAATAACCCCAACACCGTGCCACAGCAAAACACGTGCAATTATGCAAAATAAGCAAACACGACAAGACCAAGTGCATGCAAACATATGGGACTGTTAAGAGCTAAGAACGCATGAAGCGACGGTGTACAGGCACATACACATACATACACACAGACACACACAAATCCGAATCAAGTGGCAAGTGTCAACGAAACAAATCACAAAGGAGGCGGTGGAGCGGTGGCGCGTGTATCATTGTACAGCGGACCTTTTAAGCTGCACCAACACTCAGCACACAAGCCTCCTCTGCCTCGATTTTTCCGTCCCCCCCAAGCCTCAGCCCTCACCCTGTCCAACCCGACATGCGCTATCCGACACGGAGAACACCCAATCTCTCAGCTTGGCCACAGTAATCGCCAACAGCCAAGGGAAGTGTACCAGCACATGTCTTCTCACGCAAGATGCCATTGGTGCCAACACCGGCAATGGTGCCAAACACCAAGCAGAAATCAGCCACATCCGCCGACTTCCCCTGCATGTATCCCCTTCGGCCACCGAACAGCCAAGCAACGTCATCACCAGCACTGAGCACCACTGCTACTGACTACCGTTGACCTATAGATGAGAAGCTGTAGGGCATTTGAAGCTTGGTTGGAAATTCTTTTACTAAAATCCTCAAAAAATGACCCGCATGTCAAAAGCCGTACCAAACCAACAGCCACCATGACCATTGTCAACAACAACAACAACAACAACAACAACACATCAACAACAGTAACTCCAACAATGGTGACAATAGCAAGTTGAGGGAAACACGCAGCACACATTTCCCCTAGAGTAAAACCATGATTGACCTACCTACGCAACGCCCAATACAGAAGGGGAAGCAATAAACCCAGCAGCGGTCTGGCCCCAACCGGCAACTACGGCAAATCCTTCCTGGCAGCCTTCCTTCCTTCCTTCCTTCCACTCATGGGGGATGACGCCTCTGTAATCGCCCTCTTCGCCCGATTCCAGCCCAACCCACCTCCTTGC